TTGCCATTTCCTTCTCCAGGAGATCTTCCCAACCCAGGGATTGAACCCGGGTCTCCCGCATTGTAGGTTTTACCACTCTACTGTCTGAGCCACCAGGGGCTAACTTTAAGGATATGAATATAATACAAACATCAGGCAGACATCAGCTGTGACCTGACTTAGATTTATTTTTTATGGTCTAGTACTAGTATTAAAAATTGTAATTCTGCTTTCTAGGTTGTTAGTCTTGTAGAGTGTGCAGGAAGACTGTAATGTGAATGCTGTTATGCACATATATTTACACCCTTATTTTAAAAATACTTTATTGTGGAAAAGTTTAAAACTTCATTTTACCTGTTTTTGGAAGTCTTTACTTCTTTGTGTAATATCCAAGTTTGTCTCACACTCTTCTGCCTGAATAACTTTAGCACGTTTTGTACTTCAGTTTGCTGCTGATAAATTCTCTTAGGTTTTGTTGAAAAAGTCTTCATTTCTGAGAGAGATTTTCTCTGGGTATAAAATTCTGAGTTGATAATGCATTTATTTTTTCTTTTTAATTCTTTCAGTAATTAAAAGATGTCATCCCATGGTTTTTTTGCTTTGCACGATTTCTGATAAGAAGTTTGCTTGATCTTTGCTTCTTCTTCTTTTTTTTTTTTAATCTTTGCTTCTTTGTTTACAATGTGCCCTTTCCTCCCTCTTGTTGCCATCAAAATGATGTCTCTGTATTTGGTTTTCAACATTTTGAATATAGTTTGTGTAGGGTATGTGTGTATACATGTGTGTGTTGTATTTATCCTGCTTGGAATTCTTTCAGCTTCTTGGATCTATGGTTTGATTTCTTATGTTATTTTTGGAAAATTCTGTCAGTATTTCTTCTAACATTTCCTCTGCTCCATTTACTCTTCTTCTGGGATTACAGTCACACACGTTAGACCATTTGATATTATCCTATAGTTCTTGGACGTTCTGTTCTGAGTTTTTAATTTTAATTTTCTTTTTTGTGTGTTTCCCTTTGGGTAATTTCTGTTGACGTATCCTTGAATTTATTGAGCCTTTACTTGGCAGTGTTTAGTTTACTGATGAGCCTGACAAAGGCATTCTTCATCTCTGTTATCATGTTTTTTGTTTTTTAAGTGTTTTCTTAACTCTTTCTTATAGTTTCCACCTCTCTGCTAGAGTTTGAGGACTCAGGTTTCAGTAATGAATTTTCCACTTATTTTCCTTATTTCAGCAACTAAATAAGACCAAAGGAATCATACAGTCCAAGTCTTTAAGTGACCAAGGAAAAAGAGACTTGCTTGACTTGCTCAAGATCAACTGCTTTGATCTTCAAAACAAAGGAACTAAATAAGACCAAAGGAATCATACAGTCCAAGTCTTTAAATGACCAAGGGAAAAGAGACTTGCTTGACTTGCTCAAGATCAACTGCTTTGATCTTCAAAACAAAGGAACTAAATAAGACCAAAGGAATCATACAGTCCAAGTCTCTAAGTGACCAAGGGAAAAGAGACTTGCTTGACTTGCTCAAGATCAACTTTGATCTTCAAAACAAAGGAACTAAATAAGACCAAAGGAATCATACAGTCCAAGTCTCTAAGTGACCAAGGGAAAAGAGACTTGCTTGACTTGCTCAAGATCAACTTTGATCTTCAAAACAAAGGAACTAAATAAGACCAAAGGAATCATACAGTCCAAGTCTCTAAGTGACCAAGGGAAAAGAGACTTGCTTGACTTGCTCAAGATCAACTGCTTTGATCTTCAAAACAAAGGAACTAAATAAGACCAAAGGAATCATACAGTCCAAGTCTTTAAGTGACCAAGGGAAAAGAGACTTGCTTGACTTGCTCAAGATCAACTTTGATCTTCAAAACAAAGGAACTAAATAAGACCAAAGGAATCATAAGCAAGTCTCTTTTCCCTTGGTCACTTAAAGACTCGGACTGTATGATTCCTTTGGTCTTATTTAGTTCCTAAAATGTAAGATTCTGTGAATGGGAAGAGACCTAACATTGATTGACAGCCTGTATTAACCTTATGCAGAATTTGAGAAAGGGATAAAAATCACATTTAAAAGTGCTTTTGAAAACATTTTACTTTTTCTAGATCTATGTGGATTTTAATTGGAAGAAACAGACAGCATTAAATCCAGTTACCACTTGGTTAAGTCTGTTAAAGAATCATTAAATTTTTTCAACTGTTGGGTTTCCTGACTCGCTTGAGAAATTTCATGGCTTATAAAACATATCACTCTTTTTCTCTGTGCATATAGAATTTTAAATTATTGGGTTGCAGTTTGCAGTGTGAAGAAAGTTTGCAGTGTGAGGAAAAACTAATGGAGGTATTTTTACTCTTTACTGGCTAAGTGCAAAATGAATGATATTCTCACTGGATTTGGCTTTGTGGCCACAGACTTGTGTTCAGATCCCAATTGCACAGTTGTGAAACCTTGGTCTGATAATTTAACTTTTGGGCCTGAGTTTCTTAGCTGTGCAATAAGGATGATACCTGCATCAGAGAGCTATTTTAAAGGTAATGTGTGTAAAGCTTTGGGTATAGTGCCTATTTAATAGTAATTAATAGCTGATAGCTTTAAAAACAGTAGCTACAATGTAAGATGGCCACCATTAAGTTGAAGTTTTATTAAATAGAAGGGGAAAAGTGAGTTTAATATTCTTTCTATTCTTTCAGTGAAGGGGTCCACCAGGTAAAGGGATATTTTAACAATAGGGAGAAGGTTAACTGAAAAATGAGTATTGGTGAATAAGAATTATAACCAAGAGTTAGTGTTTACTATGTGATAGTCACATTTAATCCTCAACATAGCCTATGAAGTCAACTGCCCCTCCTGGAGAAGCTTTTCTTTATCTGAGTGAGGTTGACCACACCCTTTTTTTGTATTCTTCTGATCCACTTTGTACTCTGTGACTGTTTTTTATTTAACCCCTATCCTCTCTCCACTTCTCATCCCCAGTGAAAGGTTTTCTATGTATTTGGCCCAGACATTGCCCACAGTAAGTTGAGTTCTTGAGATATTGAATCATTGTGTTTTTCTGATCAAAATGAAATTGTACCATCTTTATGTTATGGGTGAAAATTCAGGCATTAAATGTGAATGTTGGTCTAAAGTAAAAATTTAAAAAAAGTTGTGAATAAAGAGAATGCTCAATTAGACTTGTTCCTCCTCCTTCCCTTAATGCATACTATTTGTTAAGATAAGCAAACGTAGTATTTCAAAGTAGCCCTTGTTCTGGAAATCACCTTAGAGTAAATGTAATGAATTTCAAAGAGGTGTCCAAATTCTGTGTGTGTAAGTAATTTTACTGTAATGGATATTATTCAAGATTGAAATTATTTAATACAAAGAAACATTCTTTTTCATACTGGAAGCAACTGTCTTCCAAAACGCAGCCCACAATACTGGCATTCTTATTGGAATAACACTGGGAATAATGTCAAATTATTTTTGCAGGGTTTTTTTTTTTTTTTTGGTCATTGCACAAGTTTTCACAAAACTGTATTTCTGATCATAGATTTTTCGAACTGGAAGGAACCTAAGAGATTTAATCTCACTTCTTCCTGCCACCCAGAGAGATGAAGTGATTTATCTAAAATTGTTTAGCTACCTAATGACAGAGCTAAGGAGAAGACAGAGTCCTTTATCCATTCAACATAGTGCTACATTCCTCTGGAAAAAACTGCCTACTCCCTCTTGGTTTTTAATGCTAGTTAGTCTGAGGGTAAGGTTTTTTCCCATGACTAACTAGTGCTCTTTTGTTTTCTTGTGTGGGTGTTTGGGAACAAGATATTAAGGGTGGTGGGGTTTTTGTTGTTGCTATTGAACAACTCAGAGTCTAAGGCACTGAAAAGGCATTCGTCTGGTTTGCATTTAGGGGTCAGGAAGGAGTGGTTGTAGCTCCAAATTTTTGCTCTTAACATCAATAGACAGATGTTTTGAAGTTGAGTTTTGTAACCTAGGGTCTGAATTCCCTAAACTTTTTGAGAAAATTATGCAGCTACATGCTTTTCTCCTAAGCAAAGGATCTGTAGCTTTCATCAGTTTGTCAAAGTTAAAAATTATTTTTTTTAGATGGAGGAAAAGCTAAGCAAACTTAATTGAGAACTGTGTCCCCACTCTTTTTTTTTAGGTTTTTTTTTTGTTTTATTTTTTTAATTAAAAATTTTTAGTATTTATTTTGGCTGCACTGGTTCTTTTTTGGAACAGTGCAGGCTTCTCTAATTGTGGCATGTGGGCTTAATTGTGGTATGTAGAATCTTAGTTCCCCAACCAGGGATGGAACCCAGGTCCCCTGCATTGAAGGCATGAAGTCTTATCCACGGAAGTCCCTGGGTCCTCATTCTTGAACTCTAAATACTAATTATACTAGAGGGTTCCCTTATCTCCAGCCTCCTTCTGCTAGTGTCCTTCCTTCTGACAAGCCTTCTAGATTGCTTCCTGTATCTTGTCATGGAAACCACTAGAGGCCCTAGCCTTCTTTTTGCAGAACTTTTTCCATAAGTTTCCCAAGCCTTCAATAGAAATTCATTTTATTCAACTTCCTTCCTAGAAGAGAACATGTAGAAAAGCATGTTCTACATTTTTAAGTCTGGCAAAAGTCACACAAAGAAAAAGCTACCACTAAGGCTGACGTTGGAAGAACTTGTTTATTCATTTTAAAAAGTCTGTACTGACCACATACCACGAACCCTCAGGCATTGTGTTAGATGCTGGGAAATGATCAGTGGTCCTTCTCATGCAAAGCTCACATTCTGCTAGGGACACATCTCAGTGGTAGTAATTGAGCATGCTAGCTGCTCTAATAGAGGTACCAACAAAGCACTGAAATCAATCCTGGCCAGGAAGAGAGATGGGTATTAGGGTAAAATTCACAGAAAACTGACAAATATTTGAGTTGCATGTTAAAGGTTCAGGGTTTTAGATATCAGTGGTATGTTTGTGCTTTCCTCACTTCAACTAAAATTCACATTTACCACTCTGTTATTTTGTCTTTTCAATTAGAGCTCCAAGCGAGAATGGAAGCCACTGGAGGACCGTAGCTGCACAGACATACCGTGGCTGCTGCTTTTCATCCTCTTCTGCATTGGGATGGTAAGAAGCTCACAGATCCTCAGAACATGAACCCATGATTCAAGGGGATGATGGGGAGTTGGTTTGAAGAGGGAACTTGTTATTTAGATATTTATTTATATTTGTAAATGAATAATCCCTCTTGAATTGCTTATAACTGGAAGTTCTAGGATACCATAGAATTAGGTTATTTTTTCCCCATACAGTTAAGTGGTATTGGTACCCCTTGACTTTCTTTTCTTTTCTTTTTGGTTTGCATGAGAATTGAGATCAAAATTAAGAGATAATTGAAACTCTCTCTTTGACTAGATCATTTCAGAAAGCCAGAAAGCCTTTGACATAAATATCCATGAACTCTTTAAGCTTGATGCAGGTGGTGAGCAGAGCAGTGGTCATGGAATCGAGTCCTGAGTGTTTATTCAACCCAATCACACAGACCTGATGGTTATTTTTTTTGCCAGTCAGTTTCTTTCAGGGACTTGGTATGCCTTTCTATAAAATTAGAGGTTTTGCTAGATGATACCTACAATGCTCCCTGTTGTGACATTTTTTTTAGTTCTTCTTAGAGGGGCGGCTGGTTGCTCCCTGCTTCTTCCTCCTTCTACCCATAGTAGGCTGCTGCTGCCTGCTGTGCCTATGAGACTAAGTGGCATTTCTCAGTCGGGGATCACAGGAGCTGGTGATTTTCCAATGGATATGGAGGATGGATGAGCAGAGTCCCTGGTGCAAAGTGTTGGGGCTGTGTTTATTCAAATTGCATCCCCAGTCTGCCCTGCAGGAGTTTCCACACAGGCTTCAGGGACTTTAGTGTCACTGCCGGAGTACTGGGCTGGGCAAGTAGAAAGCAGCCCTTTTAGAGCTAGCTGATATTTCAAGCTAGAAAGCACTTAGAAATCCTCATCTGGTCCATCACCCTCATTACACACATCAAGAACATGAGACCACAATGATGAAAGTGACCATCTCGAGGCCACACTACTAGTTAACGGCAGAGCTGGGAACAGAGCCCCGTCTCTTACCTTCCAGGCCAGTGCTCTTTTCTGTCACCTTGTTTCTCCCTTGAGGGAATTGCGCAGACAGTATTGTTCTCTCTTTCTTAGTCTTTGCAACTTGAAACACAATTATGCTACCTTCAGTTCAGTTCAGTTCAGTCGCTCAGTCATGTCTGACTCTTTGCAACCCTACGGACTGCAGCATGCCAGGCTTCCCTGTCCATCAGCAACTCCCGAAGCTTGCTCAAACTCATGTCCATCAAGTGAGTGATGCCACCCAACCATCTATCTCATCCTCTGTTGTCCCCTTCTCCAGCCTTCAATCTTTCCCAGCATCAGGGTCTTTTCAAATGAGTCAGCTCTTCGCATCAGGTGGCCAAAGTATTGGAGTTTCAGCTTCAGCATCAGCCCTTCCGGTGAACATTCAGGACTGATTTCCATTAGGATGGACTGGTTGGATCTCTTTGCAGTCCAAGGGAAGGGACTCTCAAGAGTTTTCTCCAACACCACAGTTCAAAAGCATCAATTCTTCAGTCCTCAGCTTTCATTATAGTCCAGCCCTTACACCCATACATGACTACTGGAAAAACCATAGCTTTGACTAGACGGACCTTTGTTGGCAAAGTAATGTCTCTGCTTTTTAATGTGCTGTCTAGGTTGGTCATAGATTTTCTTCCAAGGAGCAAGCATCTTTTAATTTCATGGCTGCAGTCACCATCTGCAGTGATTTTGGAGCCCCCCAAAATGAAGTCTGTCACTCTTTCCATTGTTTCCCCATCTATTTGCCATGAAGTGATGGGGCCAGATGCCATGATCTACTACCTTTGGCATGCTTTTTTTCCCCCACTCAAGTGTGACTGTATTTAATCTTTTCCCCATACCTTTTTTTTTTTTTTAAGAAATCTTATTATTTTTCATTATTACTACTTTTTAGGTAATCTTATTCTGTGTCTCTCTGCAGCTGCCCACCTCACAAACATCCTTTGAGAATTACAGAACAACCATTTTCATGACTAATGAGCAGAAGTGTGGACACCAGTCCAACTTCTGAACCAAGGAAAAGAAAACAGGGAACTTTGATGAGATGTAACACAGTCAGTAAAATAAAGAGTGTTAGTTTTAAAAATAATAGATGGCTCAGTTTCACCAAATCTAGGATATATAGAAAATATCAGAATTACTCATTTCCTGACTTAGAACTTGTAAGATATTGTTTAAGAGTCTACTTAGTTTAATGAAGTAGAAACTGAAATGTAGCATCCAGGGATGGAGGAGACATTCTTTGCTAACAGAACTAGTCCACAACCTCTCCCTGCCTCCTGAGTTTCACTCTGAGACAAATAGCAGCTGACCTTTCAAAATTATGTTTATAAAAATATGTACCTACCTCCCAAAGTGCTTTTGATTTTCTGTGCTAAAATAGCTCAGGAAAGTGCAATCACTAATGTTAATAGGCTGATTTGGGAGTGACTGGAGAGTCAGGAACTATTTGTTTACGGAAATGTTTTAATGCAGTGGTAATTAATATAATGTTGATTTCAGTGTGGTGGTAATTAAGACCTACTGTGTGTACTTTTAAATGCAGGCATAGTGTTATTTGCTTTGGAATGTTTCTTTTTGTGGATTACCATTCCTTGGAGTAGAGCTAACATCAAATATTACCACGTGGAAACTGGAGAAATCTCAAAGTTCTGCCCACCTTACTGGCACAACAGTAGACAGTTTTTTTTGTCTTCTGAATATTTGTTTTGTATGTTTTTGGTGATGGCGGTTTAGTCACTAAGCCTTGTCTAACTCTTGTGACCCTGTTGACTGTAACTCGCCAGGCTCCTCTGGCCATGGGATTTCCCAGGCAAGATTACTGGAGTAGGTTGCCATTTCCTTTTCCAGGGGATCTTCCCCACCCAGGGATGGAACGCAGGTTTCCTGCATTGCAGGTGGTCTCCTGCATTGCAGATGAGTTATTTACCGACTGAGTCACCAGGGAAGCCTTGTATGTTTTTTAAGAGTTGCATTTCATTTTTGTCTTTAGATTTCATTCTGTTAGTACCTTTAGGAGAAACATTCAACAAATATTTTTTGAGCATTATCATGGGCTTGATGCTAACATATATATATTTATCTCACTAAATTCTCCCAATTACCCTGTAAAATGAGTTTTATCCCCAGTTTACAGGCAAAGTATAGTGAACATTAGCTTATGTAAGAATATACTGCTGCCCATGAGAGGCAAAAATAGAAAAGGAACTAGAATTTTCTGCCTATATTCTTTTCATTTAGTGGCCAGTTGCTTCTGCTTTTATAGGCATTTTCTTTCTCAATCCTCTTACAGCCTATCATTCAAACCGTATCTTTACTCACTGCTCTTACTTGCAGGTCTTTGCTCACTCCTTGGTACCTACTCTCTAGTTCTGAAATATTTTAAGATCTTGTCATCTTTCACTCATCTTCACCACTAAATCTTTTTATTTACACATGTTCATCTCATCATAAATACGTGTACTTCTCTTTTGTTTCTTCTCTTACTTTTAAAATATTTTCCATGCTTGAATTGTCTAGAACTTAGGATATTTTTTAAAGTAAATTTCTGTTAGTCTTTGTTATCATCTCCTAGATTGGCACTTATTCAATATTTTGAAATTATTGGATATATGCTTACCCTGTTCTAAAAAATTACATGTTGAATTGTACCTCTTAATTTCTATTTTCCATTAAGGTAGTAAACAAGTGGTTCTCAACACTAACTGCATATTAGAATTTGCTGGGATTAAAATAAAAAATACTCATTTCTGGGCCCCACCCCATTGAATCTGATTTAATCTCTTTGATTCTAATATTCAGCCAGGGTTGAGACCCACTGTTGTAGGCACTGACAAACTATTGCAGTTTTAAGCAATAAATGATATGATTGGGTTTAGAAAGATGGCCCTGGTAGCCAGTGTAAATGTAAGTCATTGTAAAGGGGGAAGAGATTTCAGGCCACCACTTTGGAGGCTGATGCAGTGGTTCAGATGAGTCCAAATAACAGGTGAAAAACCTGAAATAAAAAAGTAGCAAAAGAGAGCAGGAGACAGCAGAAGAAGTGGGATCAGTAATGTTTGATGTCATCAGTGTTGCAGGCAAGTGGGATGGCTAAGGGATTCTTGTGTTACGGGTTCAATATAAGCTTTTTCTTAGCTCAGATCCTACCCCAGCTCCTTGTAGGTTCCAAACCACAGTTTCTGTGCACATGAAGAAACAAGAGTAGGATGGAGAAACAAAGCGCAACTCTTAGTAGCCAAGCAGTCACTTGATTACCAGTAAAGGATTCCTTGATAAGCATGGCTTGTGCAATGAAGCTTGGGCCACGTGAGCTCAAGGTTCTTCCCACCTTGGTTAGGCTGACTTCATTCTGTTCCAAGGAGAGGTATATGTGAAAAGAGGAGAGAAAAGAGATTCACTTGGGCCAAATCTGCCCAGATCATCGTACCACAAAAGTTAGGATAAAGAGGAAGCTGGGGCTCCCCTAGTGTCTCAGTCGTGAAGAATCAGCCTGCCAGTACTGGAGATGCAGGTTCCATCCCTGATCTGGGAAGATCCCACATGCTACAGAGCAGCTAAGACCATGTGCTACAACTACTGAGCCCACGTGCCTCAACGACTGAAGCCCACATGCCCTAGAGCCTGTGTTCCACAACAAGAAAAGCTACTTCAGTGAGAAGCCCGAGCATCACAACTGGAAATTAGTGCCTGTTTTCCGAAACTAGAGAAAAGCCCTCATAGCAATGAAGACCCAGCACAGCCAAAAATAAATAAATAAATAAATATATATATGTATATGTGTGTGTGTGTGTGTGTATATATATATATATAAAAGAGGAGGGTCCTAAAAGGAGTACATACTTTAAAAGAGAGAAGATACAGACAACTCATACAACTTATTCCTAATCATTATTGCTGCTTACTATGGACCGGGTACTCTTCTCTGCACTCAACACAGATTTAATTTTCATAACTGCTCAATGCTACTCTGGTTATCATCCTTCCCATTTTATAGATAAGGGGGCACAGGAATATGTTAAATAACTTGTCTAAGATTACATGGTGGCAGCATTGAACCCAGGAGAGAAGAGGAAGAAGGTAAGGCCTCAAGTGACAGTCCCTTCTCTGTTGCCTGGAATTGGGAACAACAGAAGCTGCTGCTGAGAACATGAACCTGTAGAAGACAGTAACCTCACCTGCCAGTTAAATGTTGTCTCCTCAATATTTCAGACTCTTTGAGCAAAGAGTTTATCATGACTGCTTCCTCTAGTGCAGAGTTAGAAAGCAAGAGTCCTCTCCCTCTGTATCTTAGCAGTCTAGTCAGAAATGGTGCTTCTAATGGAGATGGGGCGTATGCTGGAAGGGAAAGTGGTTTGGGGAAATGGGGAAGGAACTAAGTTTGGACTTGTAGGGTGTGTGGGTAGAGAGAAGCAGTTGGAAATAGAGAGTTGGAATTTTGAAGAACGATCTGGACTAGAGCTGAATGTCAGGGCCATTGTTGCACAGGTCGTCCCTTCAGACTGCTTTCAGGGGCATTTTATTTTATAGTCTTAGTCTAGTGCCCGGAGCGCAGTGTTGCTACCTCGTTAACTACTGTGGAGCAGGCAGCACAAAGGGAAAGACTCAAAGACTCACTGAAGTATTTAGTCACCTGTGTGATGGGCTATGCTTTGCCAGGATCATAGAATAGGAAGAACAGCATGCCAGAAACTACCTTAAGGTCACCTGATCCAAATGACTGCCTGCTTTCTGTTAGATCCTCTGGATTTTCTTTCTTTTTTTTATTATTGTGGTGAAGTATACATAACTTCGTTTTCCCTGGTAGCTCAGCGGTAAAGAATCCACTTCTAATGCAGGAGACAGGAGGTGTCAGTTCCGTCCCTGGGTTGGAAAGATCCCCTGGAGAAGGAAATGACAACCCACTCCAGTATTCTTGCCTGGAAAATCCCATGGAAAGAGGAGCCTGGCAGGCTACAGTCCATGGGGTTGCAAAAGAGTCAGACACCACTGAGCAACTGAGCGCGCACACACACATACATACATACATAACTTAAAATTTATTATTTTTAAATGTACAGTTAAATCCATTTACTTTTAATCTACTCTTCTTCGCCACCCCCACATACTACATGTTTAGTCATTACAGTGGATCGGAGGGCCCATACTTCTCCCTGAAAGTGTAGCCTAAAAATGTTTACTCTGTTTCGATGAATGGTTTTCCTTAGAATCATAAAATTTTGGAATTGGAAAGGACTTTTGAGATTAATCTAATTCATTCCTAGTGACAGGTAAAGAGACTGAGGCTCAGAGAATTTAAAATGATATAGTGACTTCCTGGGGTCATGAGTATTTGTAGCTGGTTTCAGTTCTCAGTACATATTCTTTGTTTATGTTTTCTTAATTGCTCAGGCTGCCCATGAAATAGCCTCTCTGATTTTCACTCCCTCATGCCCCATTATTATTTTTTTCTTTTGAGAACATCTCAGTTCTTTCAGGGTGAACTTGATATTTCCTAGACTTCCAACCATTCTTGTTTTTTCCTTCTTCCCTCTTTCTTAGAGTAATATATCCCATTAAACCTTAAAGAAATCCCCAAATCTGGCAGATTGCCAAAGCTTTTAAATTTATTTTTGAAATTTGTTTGCATAAGTATTAGTTCTGCATCAGACTTTCTAATCCTATGCCGTTTGCTGGGTCCTAATAGCTTCTTGGTCTCAGGGTTCTTGGAAAAGGAGGAACAGAAGCCAAGTGTTACTCGAAGGTTTGACAGGTTAGTTACTAGCGGACTGACTCCAAGTGTTGTTTGAGGTAAGAAAAGTAGTCTTTGAGAGAAAATTCTGGATATATTTTCATTAATCCCTGGGAGAAGGCTGTAAGCCTAAAGTCTTTTGATCTTGAAACACAATGCCATATTCATACTCCCTCCCCACCCCTCATGCATGTTTTGTTGACTTTTTTTTTTTCTTCAGAGCAAAGCTAGGACCTCTGCCTTGCTCAGTGGCGTGGTAAAGGCTCCATGTGTGAAATTCAAACATTGCTTGTGAAATGAAACATGTCCTTTTTTTTTGACTAAGAGTGAGTGAAACTAAGCCAAAACTCTTACTTAAGTTGAACGAAGCTTGTGATGTGAAGGGGAAATGAACACAGTCCATTAATTAGCAAATTGTTTTTCTCCCACCTAGGCAAGAGGCACTTAATAGTTGCCAGATCTTGCCTGTGATCTGCCATCCCTGGTTTCTTCATCTGATTTGAGTCGCCTCCTATTTGTGATTAGATTCGTCTGCTCCTCACTCTCTCTTGAAATAGCAGTTCTGAAAGCACTTCAGTAGTTCAGTCGTTTTAAAATTTTAACCATGATTCTATTCCTTGTGAAAAGACTTCCTTTCTCTCTAGTGATTGCTCCCTACTATAGGTGTATAAAAGCTTTCCTTATCCCCCTTACAACTTGCTTCATTAATGTGATTTCCTTCTGCTAAATAATACCCCATCTGCCTCCTGGAGCCATTGAATTATAGAGTGCGTTCTGTAAAGTTTCTCTCACCCTGTTTTAATTTCATGTATATTTTTTCTCATCTGAAGCTATATTGCTTCCTGCATTTGGATTTCACAATTTTTTAAAACAAGGAGATTGTCTTTTTAATTATATTTGGCCTAGCTCTCTGTTGTTATTGCTTGTGCCATATGGGGCATCTCCAGGATAAGAGTCATGGTCTCTCTCTCTCTCTCATTAGCTTCCTATTCCCCTTTCCCTCCTACAGCGTCTCACCCTCTCCACTCTAATGCTTTGGGAAGCTACTAAGAACTTTAGATGGCCCATGTGAAAATGTGTCAGTGTCCCATTTTACCATCTATATGAAACATTTATAATTTATACTCTGCCTACATCCTAGAAGGATATGAGGTGGTCTATAACTACAAAACACAAACACACACATGCACAAAAGCACACATGTGTACATTTCCAACAGCGATGTTAAAAATAGCCATAAAGGGACTTCAGAAACGATTGAAGCCCATCTGTAACACAAAGTGCTTACCAGACGTAAGAACGTTTCTATAAAAAGCGAAAGAAGAGCATAACCTTTTAATTATGCAAGGACTTTGCTATTTTAGACTAGTAGCGAAAGAAGATGGTAATTGTGGTCTGAATGTTTCTCTGTAATGACAAAATGACTGACAGTATTTCTCACTTCCCCCAACCCCCTAGAAAATTTTTTCCCAAAATTTAGAACTGAAGGGATTTTTGGTTAATCTCCAATTACTGTTATTAACTTCTTTAGTCTGACTTTTTCATTAGCAGCTACAATATATTGACTACCTGCTGTGTACAGACCCAGCTAAAAGTTAGAGATGAGTTATCTCATGGAGGCCCCATCGTTTGGCTGTAAAATAGTTGATATTACTTTTTGCCAGAGATGAGGAGGAAACAGTCTAAGAAGGTAAACGGATCAAGGTTATATAGGTTGTAAATGGAAGAGTGAGGGTTTGAATCCAGATCTTTCTGGATCCTCTTTCTATTACTCTATGGTGCTTCTTGTTAAAGAACTATATTGGAAAGGTTAGCCATTATTAACCTTAGTATCTTTTGTTAAAGATAACAGAAACTCAATCTTTTAGTGACTGCATTGCAAGAATATATCTTAACCTCTGTGTTTTCTCCCATTTCAGTTTATTAATAGTGACTCACCTTATTTCCTGTTCTTATGCCCAGTAGCCTGCAGTTGAGTGTAGGGTTTATTGCTTTGCTTTGATCAATGCATCCTTGACTTGGCAAGCATGATGCAGTTCTGAAGCGAGTACCATTTGCCATTGGCACTGTGGTGAAGCATATCCCCATGAAATGAAGTGACCTCTGTGTCACATGGACCCAGGGCCTCACTGTCCTTGAGTCTCCAATATTCAGAGCATGAATGTACTTCACCATATATTTCTTTGGCTTCTACACAACTTTATTGCAGGAAGAAAACAGAAGTGTTGTGTGTACTGAAGTGATAATTCAAAACCCACATACCTATTGTTCTTTGAATTTTTGTCTTTCATCTCTTGCTATTCTTCATTTAATAGAACTCTTTGACAACCAAATAAAACTAAAGAATGGGGACTTCCCTGGTGGTCCAGGGCTAAGACTCCGAACTCCCAATGCAGGGGGCCCAGGCTTCAATTCCTTGTCAGGGAACTAGATCCCACATGCTACAACAAAGATCCGGTATAGTCAGATAAATAAATATTTTTTAAAAAAGTTTAAAGAATGAAGAAAGCTAGGTTTGAGTCTTATGCCCTGATTTTTACTAGCTTCTATGGCCTTGGATGACTTATTTACCCTCTCTGGGCCTCAGTTTCCCCCTCATGAGGACTAGAGATAATGTATGGTGAGTAGCTGGTACAGATCCTGGCATCAAGCAGATGTTCAGTACAAAGAAGCTGCTATTATTATTATTATAAAATGCAAAGACATACTTATGATGTAAAAGCTTGAGATTTGTTTTGTTATTGTAGTAAATAGTGTTTCCCTGTGGACTTCTTTGTACAGCTTATGTGAAACCCAAGGAAAACAGTGGAATAGTGTTTGCAATAAGGAAAGAGAGCTCTTTGTTCCCTTCAGCGGACAAAAGAAGCTCATTATCGTATCAAGTAGTGGCTGTTGCTATCGAAATGGTTTATATTTATGTTTTTTTCTGTTTTTTCCCCTAGGGATTTATTTGTGGCTTTTCAGTAGCAACAGGTGCAGCAGCAAGACTAGTATCAGGATACGACAGCTTTGGAAATATCTGTGGGCAGAAAAATGCACAGTCGGAATCATTTCCACTCAGTGGCATGGACCACACCCATCGGAAGTGAGTAGACTGTGGCTGAATGGTGAACGTTGTGGGAACTTGCAAGGGGAGGGGGCGTCCTGCTTTTCTTACTGTTATAAAGATAATATCTTACTGAAGATTATTTTTATATGCTTTCTGTTGGTTTTTTTTTTAACTGTCCACTTGAATCATTTCTGGTTTTGGTCTATAAATACATTTACCAGGAAACAAAATTAGGTGCCGTGTTAAAATGGCCTACCTTGAGGTTTTGATGAGTAAATGCGTGATTTGAGAGAGTTACTCTTGTGCTCGTACTCTGTTTTCCCATTAGCCTCTAGGCTGTACATGAAGTTTTAACCCAGAAAACAATATAATATTTTCTTCCTAAGACTACTTGATGGCAGGCAGAGGGATAATGGATTTTGACACTGTAGAGTTATAGTGAAACATTTTGTGGCGCTTCATTTATAAGTACACACTTATTTCCAATTTTATAAAAGATATATTTCCTGTGTCAGACTTTGAAATTTCTTTCGGGTTTTCAAGGTTCAGGTTTTGGATTTCTTGAAATTCCTGACTTAATCACCTCTTCTCTTCAAAAGAGCTATTATTTCATTTTTACTGTCTATGGGGAAAAAGATATCTTATCAAATGTATTGCATGTATGATGTCAATATATTTGTTCAAACTGTGTATTTATGCCCATCAAACTTTATTAGAAATGGCATCCCACTCCAGTATTCTTGCCTGGAGAATCCCATGGATGGAGGAGCCTGGTGGGCTACAGTCCACGGGGTCACGAAGAGTCGGACTTGACTGAGTAACTTAACTTAATAAATAGACAGGTGTTTAGAATTAATCAAACTAATTTTAAGGTTAGCCAATTCCATTAGTGAATTTTATAGGAGAAGGCTAATGCAAATAAAAACAATTTTTTAAACTGTAGTTCTATAATATTTGGAGAGATATGATAACTCTATTTATTGTTAGATAAATATGTTGGTTAAATCTGGGCCCCTGCTAAAGTAGATTAATTTGATAAATTGAAAAACTTGAAAAAATCCAAATAGTTAATCTTAAGAGATATTTCTCCATTTAATGAAGGAATAATGCAGTTCAAATAAAGAATTTTAAATAGCAATAATGAATATTTGTATAGAATGCAATAGTCAAGAAGTATATGATACCAACCTGTGGGATGGGGTAGCAAAGGCTTAGAGAGATTGAAATGACCTCCCCAGAAGTCTGATGGGCAGTGGACTGTCCAAGACAGACCGTGAGCTTTTCTTTTGACAGAAATGAAAATTGGACTTGAGAGCGTAATTTGGAGGATTATTTCATTTGTCTTTCTTTTTGATTGCTTTATGAAATTAACACAAATTTTAGGCTTTGTGTTACTTACTGTAGCAAGTCTACCCATGTATTTTGTTTTTACTTCTCATTTTGGAACACTTTAAGACTCACAGAGAAGTGCAAAAATAGTAGAGTTTTGCATATCTTTTTTTTTTTTTTGAAGGTAGTGTCAAATATTATATACTCTTTAATGCTGGTGACATGTACCAAACATAAGATATTACCATTTGGGTAATTGAGGAGACAGGAGAAAAAGAACTCTAGTTCCTTGGGTTTACTGCTCACATGAGGTCATGATCATTTTTATGGCTCCCTTTTAACTTGCTAGTAACTTCAAGCATGTTCTTATCATAAAGTTTGTGTAATTGTCAGTTCATCCTTAACCTTTTGGAGGTTCATTTGGTTAATTTTTAAGAAATATTTTATTTTATATTGGAGTGTAAATGAGTAGGAGGCACAGGAGATGTGGGAAGAGCCCTGGAGGAGGAAATGGAAATCTACCCCAGTATTCTTGCCTAGAAAATTCCACGGAGAGAGGAGCCTGATGGGCTACAGTGTATGGGGTCGCAAAGAGTCAGACACAATTGAACGCACACACACACACACACACACGTTCACACAGATGATTAACATTGTTGTGTTAGTTTCAGGTGTATAGCAAAGTGATTGTTATACATCGACCTGTATCTATTCTTTTTCAGATTCTTTTCCCATTTAGATTGTTATATAATACTGAGCAGGGTTCCCTGTGCTATACAGTAGATCCTTGTTGGTTATCCATTCTAAATATAGCAGTGTGTACATGTCAATCCCAAACTCAGTTTTTAATTTCAAATCCTCAGATTATTCTGTGTACATTTTGGCCTCTTGCAAAGAAAGCCTGCTTATTATTCTGAAAAAAAAATGGTTCGTTTTCCCTGAGTGCTTAGCATAGTTGGGACACACTCATGGATAGCTATAATAGGGTAATCCCTCAAGTATAGCAATGCCTTAATTTATGTATCCATGTTAAAATTTATTTTTGATCTCTACTTCTTCTTTGCCCATGAGCATTTTAGCCCTGAGCCATTTAAGTATTTCCGTCTATGAAAGTGAAAGTGATGGTCGTTCATCATGTCCACTCTTTGCAACCCCATGGACTGTAGCCTGTCAGGCTCCTATGTCCATGGAATTCTCTAGGCAAGAATATTGGAGTGGGTAGCCATTGCCTTCTCTAGGAGATCTTCCTAACCCAGGGATTGAACCTGGATCTCCTGCATTGTAGGCAGATTCTTTACCATCTGAGCAACCAGGGAAGCCTATTTCTATCTATAAATGGTAATTTTATAAATGAATGGTACAGTTTTGAATGTAGTTTCTAAGGTAAGTCTATACTATTTGGATTTGGAAGGAGATAGACAGTCTTTGTGTTTATGAGAGTCCCTTGGACTGCAAGGAGATCCAACCAGTCAATCCTAAAGGAAATCAGTCCTGAATATTCATTGGAAGGACTGATGCTGAAGCTGAAACTCCAGTACTTTGGCCACCTGATGCAAAGAACTGACTCATTTGAAAAGACTCTGGGAAAGATTGAAGGTGGGAGGAGAAGGGGACGACAGAGGATGAGATGGTTGGATGGCATCACCGACTCAGTGGACATGAGTTTGAGTAAACTCCAGAAGTTGGTGATGGACAGGGAGGCCTGAGCGTGCTGCAGTCCATGGGGTCGCAAAGAGAGACGACTGAGCGACTGAACTGAACTGTACTGAACTGAACCTATACTCCATTCTCTCTCTCTGTTTTTTTTTCCTGCCAAGTATATTGATTTTCTCCTTTTTCACACATACATCTTTGGCTTTATTATAAATACCACACCTTTCTATTCCTACAGGATTTTTTTATACCTGATTTGTCTTGACCTTGATCATTTTCTCCCATCCCTTATCCTTAGCACCTAGTACCTGATACTTACTAGGGCCTCTATACATAGTTGTTAAATAGGTTAATGAATGAATCCTCTAAGATATTAAATACAGCTAACTTTCTTGCCTTCATGAATGTTGTTTTTTTTCCCTATCAGAAAAAAAAAATCCTCCTATTCTTCATGTGGCTAAATGCTATTCATCTTTCAGATCTCAGTATAAATGTTACTTCCCAGAAAGGTATTTTTTAAGCTAGTAATTTAAGTTCCACTGTGCCCTGTAATATGTGTAATTATACATTTATTTCATCCTTATTTGTTAAATGTTTGTCTCTTCTAAGTTTCATGAAAGCAGAGGTGAGGTCTGTTTTGTTCATGGCCATTTCCTCTGTACCTGGAATGTAGTAGACACTCAAATGTTTGTTGGATGGGTAAATAAACATTTATTTTTTAATATGTTCTCAGTGAATTAGAGTCTGAGGATCTGGGTATCTTAAGGTTATTCATGCATTTTGCTGACTGTCTTTCCATAAAGTCTCTTCTATTTACATTCCCACTGACAGTGTCTGAGATTGCTTTATCTTTGCTAGTATTATTAGTTTTTGTACAAATTTGATTCAACCACAGAATGATATTTTATAGTTTTAATTTGCATGCCTTTGACTATTCATGAGTGTGAAACCACCCCCCACTCCCACCCCCCATATGTTTGTTGGCCTCTCCTGAAGACTGTTATGCCAGCACATCTATTCTTGGTCTTCTTATCTCTAATCCTCTCCATCCTTTATACAGTGATAGGATTAAGTTCTTTAAAGCCCCTTTTACTGTCATTTCCCTGCTCAAGAGCCTTTCCTTTTGTATTGTTACCTATTGAAAATGAGCCCACTCAGCCCTGGCGTGACCTCGATCCCATGTACCCCTGCAATCTCCCCTCACTGTTTCTCATTGCAGTGGTGCCTTTGTCCATGATACTCAGCTGATTCAGCTTCTGTGCTGTATCTCTATCTCTCTGCCAGTCTGAATTCTTGAAAGAACGTGGGACTTACACCCTCTCTATGGAATATTTCAAAGCTACCTTTATCCCAGAAGTTTATATTGGATTTCTGTTGCCTTTAAGTTGTTGTCTAATTATATTATGCTACTCATCTGCCTGTATTAATGATCAGTTGCTAGGTAACAATATTTCCATAAACATAATGGCTTACAACAGGAGACACTTACTATGTCACAGTTCCTGTGGGTCAGGAACCTGGGTGCGGCTTAGCTGGACTCTTGCTTCAGTCTTTTACGAGGTTGCCGCAAGGTGTTGATTAGAGCTGGGGTTCTCCTAGGGAAGTTCCCTACCAAGCTCAGCTGGCTGTTGGCAGCACGCACTCCTCGATGATTGTTAAACCGAGAGCCTTAACTCTTTACTGGCTATCAGCCAAAGGCCACCTTCAGCGCTTGCTACATGGGCCTCTGCATATGGCAGCTTACTTCAAAGACAACAGGAGAGGGTGTCAATACAGAGAGATACAGATACAGAGAGTCTGTTAGTAAGATGGAAGTTACAATATTATGTAATGTAACTGTGCAAGTGTTAACTCCTCACCTTTGCCATATTCTACTGGTTAGAAGCAAGTCACAGGCCCCACCCAAATTTAACGGGAGGATTCTGAATTATAGGAGGTAGGACCCTAATTAAGGGCATCTCAGAGTCTGAAAGCCACACTGCCCAACTCTGTGTCCCTGGAGCACCATGCTTTGTATGACTCCCAAATTTCAGTACCCAAGAGTTATCTCATAG